GTGTTGGGTTGACGGTTGGACTCGATGATCTTAGAGGTCTTTTCCAACCTCAGTGATTCTATGATTCTATGATTCTATGATGGCCGTGTTTTATTTTTATCAACGTACATGTAATCAGTTTTCTCCTGGTTACGCAAATGGAATTCAATGCTCCCAATGAGGCTAAATAGGTTTTATGATAAAATCATTGACAATTTGCTACATTTCTTTAATGCCTTTCATGTTATGGAGAATTATTTACCCAATTTTCTACAAACATGAGGCATCAATTTGCTAGAATTATAATGGGAGAGCAGGATGCCTTTATTACCGTGTTATCTGCTAGCAACTGCAAGGTTAGCAGGGCTGCATATAACCAGTGCAGTGATGGAGGGCTGTGAGATTATACATATAGCTCCTCCGTGGGCTGGTAGGGAAGAGTGTGTGCTGCCCTGCGGGAACAGGGAGGGCCTAGCCTCCTCAGGACCCCCTGGAAATCATTGCTTGCACGTATAAATGTGGTGTCTGGGTTGCTTAAAGACCCTGCTGTTATAGTTTTGTTTCCCCGATGATCAAACTAATGGACTTATTCATACATATTACCGTGGGATTTTGCAGCTGTAGCAGAGGAGAACCTCTTCACTGGATAGCTTATTCTGGTTCTCACCTACATACATGGATTGAAGATTTTATGTATGTACTTTAAAGCTCAATTTCTGAACATAGAAAAAGTCACATATTTGGGGCAATACTTAGTCTTCACCCATGGTTAGCTAGAATTCCTCTGGCAGAATTGGTTTGATTTAAAATTAATCTTTAACAAAAGAAATCACACCCTTACACAGCATTACCTGGAATTTCCACCTGGAATAAGGAGAGGGTTTCAATGACAAAGACAGGAATCCAGCAGATGGCATCAGTGAATACTATTAAAAAAATACCAATTGGCAACAGCAGCATCCCTGCGAATGTGACTCCTTACTTCTGATGTCTGAAGGGCAGTTTTTTGAACAGAACAAAACATGCTGACCTATGAAAACACTATGATGATGGAGGCTAGCAGGTTCACACCTGTGGGGAAACAAGATGCGAAAGAAGTGGCATTGGAATGGTCTTTCCTCTCTTCCCTTTCTCCCGACCACTTCTCTGTTTCATTCACTTCCATTGTTTTGTTATAATTTTTACATTAATGTATCTGTAGTACATAGACACCAATTTTATGTTAGAAACAGCTCCTCAATATTGTCTAGTGTCACACAGCCTGCTCACATACCATGTGTTCCCATCTGTTCCACAGCGAGATGTGAATAAGTTGTAAGAAGTTACTATAGAAACACAGTTAATGCACAGTATGGGTGGGCTCGTGGATCCACAGAGATCTGGTCTCCTGACTAGAAATGCTGCAGTAAATCTGAAACAGAAACCACCTGCAGGACTCTAACGTAGTATGGAAAGAAAAACATATTCCCCAGTGAAGTGCCAAACCGATCTGAGGCGTGTGTTCGTTTCAGACTGGCTTCCTCAGTTCTGTATAAATATCCATCCCAAATTACTGATGGGAGAGCATGTGCAGAGCAAGCTGTGCAACTTGGATTTTAATTGCACTGTGCTGTGTTGCAGAGCAAGGCTTTTAAACAGTTCATCAGATGGCAACTCCATGGACTGGAGTACTCTGATAAATAGCTGAGAGGCATTGAAGGAGCCATTTATGTCAAGATCCCAGCACCTGAAAACAGGCTCTTGCTCAGAAATATGGATTGAAACAAACTAAAAGAATTGAAAAGTGTGACATCATAATTTTATTGATGGGAAATTACTACATGAATCTGATTTGACATGTGTATTGCCGTTTTTACTTTCTACTCAATAAAATTCTAAACAAACTACTTTTATCTTTTGATTTATAGCTTTTTAATCTTTTTTGATATCAAGACATGAAATGAGGAATAACTGTTAAATGTATATGTATTGGCAAAATAACCCCTATGGCTCTGCAAATGCAGGTCAGGGAGAAGATCGTTTGGTAGCAGCTTGAATGATTCTCAGTCTTTGCTGTGAGTGAATGTTCTGAGGCTGAGCATGACCAGCTCATACATATTTCAGGCTGAAGTTTCTGGGTTTTATTGTGTTCATTTCCAGTTGATTTTATATATATATATGTTTAATCATTATTCCCTGCCAGTATAATGCACAAAAAGCTATGCTTTTAAAGTTTCATCCTATATTATTTATATTATCACCATTTTCTGCAATCCAGTGAAGACTATACTGAGTAGTAGTTAAAGGTTTATGATTTTACTGATTCATAAAAATGAAAAGGTTTCAAACCATTGAGTTGTACACACAGTGTAGCTAAGTAATTGCATTACCTCATTGTTATTCAAATTACTATTTCCTTCTTTGTCTTCTCCTCTTCTTTGTTACACTTGTGTTTTGTTAAAATTAGATGCTAAACTCTTCAGGTGACACAGACAAAAAAAAAAGCAAACCCCAGAAAGTCAACCGTATCCTGGGCTGCATCAAAAGAAGCGTGGCCAGCAGGTCGAGGGAGGTGATTCTGCCCCTCTCCTCTGCTCTGGTGAGACCCCACATGGAGTACTGCGTCCAGCTCTGGAGCCCTCAGCACAGGAAAATCATGGACCTGTTGGAGCGGGTCCAGAAGAGGGCCACGAAAATGATCAGGGGGATGGAACACCTCTCCTATGAAGGAAGGCTGAGAGAGTTGGGGTTGTTCAGCCTAGAGAAGAGAAGGCTTTGAGGAGACCTACTTGCAGCCTGTCAGTACTTAAAGGGGGCTTATAAAAAAGATGGCGGCAAACTTTTTAGCAGGGCCTGTTGCGACAGGACAAGGGGGAATGGCTTTAAACTAAAGGGGGGTAGATTTAGACTAGATATAAGGAAGAAATGTTTTACGCTGAGGGTGGTGAAGCACTGGCACAGGTTGCCCAGAGAGGTGATGGATGCCCCATCCCTGGAAACATTCAAGATGTCCCTGCTCATTGCAGGTGGGTTGGACTAGATGACCTTCAGAGGTCCCTTCCAACCCAAACGATTCCACGATTCTATGATTCTACGGTAAGTGTGCAGCCAGCACACAGCACATGAAATTCTGGTCCTTTTGTGGGCCTTTGGGAAGTGTTACAACACAAACATCAATAGTGTAGTGAAAAGTGCATCTATCAGTGAATGTTCTGTAGACTGACTGTCAGTTTTTCTAGTAAAATAATATTAATCAGTAATTATAATATCGTTAAAATTAAATTTACCAAGAAATACAACAAGGGAATACCTGTTGCCTCCAATTTCTTCTATTTGGTCAGAATTCAAAGGGAAACAAACTCCATTTTCCCTGTAATAATTTCCAAAAAAGTCCTCATACCAGAAAGGGATTATTGCTATGGCAAATACAGCAATCCATATGGATTAGAATTACTACTGTCTGCTGCTTTCCAGGACGGATATTACTGAAGGGAAAGACAACCACTAAATACTTCTCCAAGGTGTCCTGGTTTCGGCAGGGATAGAGTTAATTTTCTTCCTAGTAGCTGGTACAGTGCTGTGTTTTGGATTTAGGATGAGAACAATGTTGATAACACACCAATGTTTTAGTTGTTGCTAGGTAGTGCTTACCCAGAGAGGTGATGGATGCCCCATCCCTGGAAACATTCAAGATGTCCCTGCTCATTGCAGGTGGGTTGGACTAGATGACCTTCAGAGGTCCCTTCCAACCCAAACGATTCCACGATTCTATGATTCTACGGTAAGTGTGCAGCCAGCACACAGCACATGAAATTCTGGTCCTTTTGTGGGCCTTTGGGAAGTGTTACAACACAAACATCAATAGTGTAGTGAAAAGTGCATCTATCAGTGAATGTTCTGTAGACTGACTGTCAGTTTTTCTAGTAAAATAATATTAATCAGTAATTATAATATCGTTAAAATTAAATTTACCAAGAAATACAACAAGGGAATACCTGTTGCCTCCAATTTCTTCTATTTGGTCAGAATTCAAAGGGAAACAAACTCCATTTTCCCTGTAATAATTTCCAAAAAAGTCCTCATACCAGAAAGGGATTATTGCTATGGCAAATACAGCAATCCATATGGATTAGAATTACTACTGTCTGCTGCTTTCCAGGACGGATATTACTGAAGGGAAAGACAACCACTAAATACTTCTCCAAGGTGTCCTGGTTTCGGCAGGGATAGAGTTAATTTTCTTCCTAGTAGCTGGTACAGTGCTGTGTTTTGGATTTAGGATGAGAACAATGTTGATAACACACCAATGTTTTAGTTGTTGCTAGGTAGTGCTTACACTAG